CGCCCGACTTCTTCGATTGTCCGATCAGGGCGCCTGGTGGACCTTCATTTGAGAGCTTCCTGGAGAGAGCCAGGGCGCCTGGCTGCTCCGCTACCCGCTAGACCGGGTCGCCCGGTTGGCCGACCCTTGTACCCTAGGAGAGAGTTGGGGCGCCCGACTTCTCCGCCCTCGCCGGACCGGGGCGCCCGGAAGGCAAGACCCACCGTGCCTGCGACCCAGCTGCGCCTGGGACTCCGCGAGCGACCCTGCTGTACCGATCGGACCGTCCCGAGCGCCGGGACCGACCGAACCGACTCGTCCGATAAGGACGCACCGCCGAACCCCGCCGTACCGTCCAGCGCCTCGCTCATGTAAATAATGTACATAGTCAACGTCATAATAAACTGTGGTTGTCAACGGAGTGGTGTCTCACGCTTTTCTTGCATCCTAGCCCGGCGAGCATAATTCCGAGCAGGAAACGCGCACCGTCACAAACATTAAAGCAAAAATGGTCTTTTTTGCTTCAATTATGTTGAATAACTCGATAAAAGAAAATCGTACAACGCCTCCCAAATGCTTTTTTGAACATCTCGATATGATTATTTGACAAAGTTATCTCTTGAACTTTGCCTATTTTTGGAAGGTAGAGTAAGTAATGCTTTAATTTTGTTGAGAAGTGTATAATCGCTTATTATATGTGGAAAAAATAGAACGAAATTTACAGCGCAAGTGTACCCGAAAGAAATACAGTCATATATTTGTCATAAGCTAATTACAGCTAGAGCCTGTGTCGGTTTAAGAGGGAGGGGCTAATGGGATTATAGCCCCAAGTCTTATCTTTCTAGAATCCAATCAGCAAACAATGTTTTTTAAATATTTTGTTAACATTTCTTTTTATTAATTATTTATTCCCTGAACTTTTTTCATAAAAAAATACACTACGCAAAAAAATTAGGGGAGCACTTTAAAAACTGCAAATTTTGTCGATTTTCAGAAACCAATATCTCGGCTTCCAGGAATCGCAGGACATTGTTCCTTAGCGCGTTTTGAAGGGTAAGGCCTCTACTTTAAAATGGCCCTAAGTGAGATTTTTCGTCCCAA